TGCAACTATCCCCCTGATAGTTTGTAGCCCAAGTTTTGAGCATGGCTCACATCAGGAGGTTTCAAAACTGCTGAATTGCTCGGACTTGGTCAAGTACTTGGGACATAGCCTTGGCCCATCTTAGGTGCAAATTAGTAATCCATATTGGTTCTGAAATTTAGGGGAACACCTAATTCCACTGAATCATCTATTGAAACGGCCATTCATTAGGTATACTCCATTTCAAACACCCCATATTGCCATCAACATGGCCAAAGATCAGCCTTCACCAGTCGCGATTGAGGAATCGAACAAACCATCTTGATGTAAACTGAAGCGTGCTAAAGTTGTGATCCATGGCCTTATTTGACATTACCAACCACATATGATGTGATACTCCTACTGGAACCCCCAATCTCTGTCAGGATATATCGCAATGGTTTGTGATTTGAGGACCCAAACACGCAGAATCTTGAATCATATGTGCGAACCATCTGCACCGCACAAGGCTGGGGTGCCAAATTCATAGGGTATTAGTTGAGGAATGCGTGCCATCATTCTATGTCTACTGGGAACTTCATAACCTCACCGCCTACTGTCCATTGACCCAACAAGCTAGGAGTCTATACCGACATGATTTAGCCCTCAAGGCACTCTGTGCTGTTGTCGATGTGTCCAAACCATTCTCGATATGTCCAAACCATTCTCGACAAATATGGAATCCTCCTGGAATAGAAAGTACGTGGATCGCCATGAAATCAATTCCGAACACCATTTTTGACCGTCACCCACCATCTCTACTTCTAGGTATACCACCATAAATGCAGAAACTGCTTGGTAGTTACAACCCCCTGAAACACACGATGGTTTCCTAAAATGCGGGTACCCCCAAGTCATCCAAGTCGTTAGAGCGTTTCAATATCGAAACCATTGTTATTGGGATCCTCCATTTTACGAAAGCCCCACATTGGCCAATAGCTATTGTAAAAACATGTAAAAACAGGATGATCCGGAAGACAACCAGTATTTGACGCCACCAACCAGGTTAAATGGTCCAGATACCATGTTCAGTAGCTTGTTTTCATGTCATAGCACCCCCTGAAAAGATGCAGAAGTTCAAAATTCAATTCTCAGTGGGAGCAAATGTTTTTTTCTGAATCTTTGTGGGGGGTTACTATCTCGGGATATCAAACATGCCTCCACCGAAACAGTCAGAAAAACAATCCATCAATCAATGAGGCCAGGGTTGATCCAACATGTCGGTTCGAAACCATCTAATTTTCTTTGAGCCATAAAAAAACAAGGAATGTGGGTAAAACAAGAATAAACCACCCATTTGGGAATTGTTTATACCAACTATTTATTTATGGTGATTTGGGGGATGGTTTGTTATTGTTTTGCCCACATTAATTAAGTCCTGGAGTGGCAAATTGACCAATGGGAAGGCAAACAATCAACGCCGTGTGTTGGTTACATATCTCATAATATCCCATTACGCGCCCAAGAAATGCTTGGTTTTATCACCTCAACTGCTTTCCAGCGCTGACTTTTGGGATCCTGGGATGATAATCTGCGGTAGTTATGGTACCCTTTGGTCATTCACATAGCTATGGAAAAACCACCATTTAGTTCGATGATTTTCAGCCTAAAGCCATCCATTTAGTTCGGAGATGTTCGGGGATTCCCAGGTAGCCATGCTTGATTAGCAGGTCCTGGAATTTGCTCAGCATGACTTTTTTCAGTAGCTCATTGGGTATGGGTCAAACATATGCACCCGCAAAGAAAGGAGAGCTATTGATGAACCAACTTACCTATCATGTGGGCGATTTAGGCTAGAAGAACAGCGGCAGAAAGAGTAAAAATAAAGGTTTAAGAGGCAATATTGAAACATGGAGTAGTACCAGCAAGGACGAGGGTTCTGTCAGTGAAAATGTAGGTATGGGTCACACACACATGTTTGTAAGGCATTCGAAACATTTTTGTTGCGCAATCTTCAGTAGAAAACCACCAAGTCTGAGTCAAATCGCGCTGACCCCCCAAACCACAAAGTAGGCATGTGCAGATTCTGAGGTAGATGATGCTAGATGGGAATCTAAACCGACCTATAATTGCGGGGGCCCCTCGTGCTGGATAAACCGCAAGTTAGTCCATCTAACTTCAGCAAAATAGAGAACATCTACAATCATTGGTCAACAACATGTATTATCTTTCAAAATTATAGGCATTATTGTATATGATCTATCAATCACATCTAAAAATTGTGCCATAATCCATCCATTTATCCTGGGTCTGGGATAAACCCAGCAATTTTTGCTGCAGCAAGCATCATGGCCGCTGACCAGAATCGCAGGGCCCACGGGTTTCTCTTGTGTCACCTGTGGATGGGGCAAGATACCATCCCCCCAACGAACATGACGACCCTGACACGAGTTGGGGTTTGGAAGAATACAAAAACATCCAAGAACTATGGCAAAGATTGGCAGGTTTTCAGGGTCTATGTTGATTTGGGGCGATACTAGATAGGATATTTCTGATGCATGTTCGGATTTTGAGGGATGATGACAATCATTGGGACAATCACAACTATCAATAACTTCGATGCGGAATTTGCATTGAGATGTTGTCATGAGATGTTCAAATTAGGCTATTTGCTGCGCCTGTAACTTAACCAAACTATGGACTTTACACTGGGTTGTTGTCATAGACTAGTTTCATGATGGGGCATGAAAGGGGCTGATAATATAGGCTGGACATAGTGATAAATTCATGGATAGCAATGGGTATCAAGCAATATATATATTTATATGCACACGTATGTAAAACATATATATATATATGTATATATATATATATATGTATATATATATAAATGGACTGATTAGCGGATATTGTGGTGGGATATTGTGACATAACATGGGCCAGCTAATGGATATATGGAGATGAAATTAATGGACACCAACATATTATAATTATACATGTGCGGACTAACTGGTGGATATAAAATGAAATCCACACAGTGTCTTCCAACATGTAAAAAATAATATATATATATATATGTATATATATACATATATATACATATAAATATATATATATATATACATACATACATATATTAAGAATATATATATATGTATATATATATAGAGACTTGGCGGAATGTCATATTGGAATATTTCGTAAGTGGATTCGCTTGGCAAACATCTTATGGAGTTATGGGGATGGTAACCGATTTGAATATGGATGCCTAGTATCTGGCTTAAATTAACATAAAATAGTGTAAGGGTCAATGTATGTCATAATGGACCCTCCAGAAAAGGAAACATCGATATGGAAAACCGATGGTTTTGCCAGGAAAGGGATCCACACATGAATGGTGTTCCACAATATGTATGTCAGTTTAGTGGAGGGCTGGATCTCTTGTCCTAAGCATACAAGCCATTCATTCCCGTCTTATTCTTATGGCATTTGAAGCCACCGCACTTAAAACCCACATATCGAGGTTTAATATGATGGCTAATGGGGCTTCATTTCCACAAAGATTACAGGGGCGTTGACATAATTTGGAGTTTATGATACCCGGGGTTCAACCCAACGAAATTGCAGAATATAACCACCAACCATGGGGCTACACCTTCTAACTACCAGATAAGAAACTTAAGGTTCCTAAACTGAGTGTAGAGTAACCCCCCCAAAAAAGACAGACAAACAATCTTTAATGATAGGGATTTTACTTTTCTATTTTTTTTTGAAGTTGCTATAGGTCAAAAATATGTACTTAGCGGGTCGTTTAATACCAAGGGTGATCAATCTTGCGGGTCCAAGGTGGTTGTTAAACTCCAAACCAAGGCTTGGGCCATCTTCCTTTCCTGCAAAAATCAAGCAGCCCCATGCATCAAACCGAGTTACAACTGCTAGGTGCCCATCAAGGACCCATGAGGGGATCATCTGCAACCACATACTGGTGGCTATGGGTCACAATTCTTGACCCGGAACATTCATGGTTGAAGAGTTGAATATGGTGATGGGGTTCATGTTTTAATATGGTGATACTACAAATCACTATACTCACCATATTGATTCCTGAATTAAAAAAGTGATTGAATATGGTTTGATACTACGAATCATAATTTCATAGTTTTCGTGGTCCAGTGGCTCCCAAAATTTGTGATATTGGTGTTTTCTATCATCAAGCATAACCCCTATTCCATCTGATGAATTACTAGTTGGTTGGATACGGTTTCCCTACTATGGCTTATAATAATCCGCAGTAAATTAAAAACTATAAGTTACAAGAAATTCACCAATCATCATTTATTCAATTTCATGATATCCCCATACCTTCGTGAAAATCTCCATAAACCACCACTATAATTGATACTTAATTCCAATTTAACTCTGAAACAAAAAACACAGGCGTTTTTGTTCAAAACACACCTCCTTGCTCGCAGAAAACCATCTCCAGGAGCCCGCAGGGACATACCGGGACCAATTCGCCGCGCGCCTCTGTGGGCGCGGGAGTTCCCAGCAGAGCATTGTGAGCGGCGTCCAGGCACTTCATCACCTCCAGCTACATCCGCCAAAAAATCTTTTGCTAATTGTGTTTGCGATATATGAATATGATATATGTATATGTTAACAATATATGAATATGATATATGTATATGTTAACAATATATGAATATGATATATGTATATGTTACATGACAAATTGTTGTACATTGTAATCATTGTAATCAGTGTATATGTACACACACATATATATATACATACAAACAAATGTTTTGGGGCCTCACATTGTAGCTTTAAAAAACAACGAACAAACCAAGAAGCCATCAATCAACCATCTTTCTCATTGACATCACCATAGCGACTGTTATATTATACTGCAAGCATAAAACGCACGATCTCGTTCATAACATTTTCCACACATTTTAACTTAAAATCTCTAAAGCCTGCTACTAGACTTGTGCTAGCCTTCTATACAAAAAATGTATCCTCGGTGTCCTCGCACTCCTCTTCCGTTTCGTTCACGAGCTTCTCAAACTTGTCTTTGACAACGCCACCGATCCATTGAACCATGGCACTTTTCACATGCCGATTCACCTCCTGAACGGCTGCAATGCACGCAACACGTTGGTTCAGAATGGGATTCCGGCAATCGCAATGGATGAAATGGATAAAAAGGGAAGTATAACTGTATAACCCCCCAAATCAATTAACCAATCAACCAGGGTCAGGTTTGGTGTTTTGGCTGGTTCCCACCTGAAAACCCACACTTTCTTGGATCGTGTCTTTGACCTTCTTCTCATCCCGTGGATCATATGCTTCTGCATTGGCCACGTTGACTTCGCAGAGGGATCGGGTCACCTCGGCAATGCCTTTATCCCCAAGAGAAATCTTCTGGGACAGGGAGGCACTTGCTTCCTTGGATTTGCGATCATGCAGGGGCGTCAAAAGAACAGAGAACTAAGAGTAGATTGGGCACTTTTTGTAAGTGGTGGCTTACGGAAAACCTGTAGCAGTTTAATGTAATGCTCGCTCAAAATGAAGATTCACCCATCATTGTTTCATTCACCCACAGATTTCCACCTTTGGTGGATTAATCATGATTAACCAATGATAAAACAAACAAACAATCCAGCAAATCCAGGTTTCATGAGGCATCACAAATGCCACGTCGATCTTCAGAGAGCACGCGACATACTGTTCATAGATCGTCCAAACTCGTCGCAGGTATCTGGGCTGGTGCCATCCATCCAAAATGGCTACCATCTGGCCACAGCGTCGAAGGTTCTCTTCGAAGACCTCTTCTAAGTTGTCACTGCCAGCTGGAGTTCCATCCACAATGAGACGGAATTGATTGTTCACAAAAAAACACATGTAGAAAAAGACATTCTCAGCTGCCATCGGTGCTTTCCACAGCTGCAACGCATCCCTTACCTGTCCCACTGAGTATTGCCAAGTCCAGGACATGAAGTAGTTTTGCCTCTGTCGATGTTTTGGGGGAAGCAAATCCACCAAAGCACGGCCCAACTTGCCATCTCTTGGGCAGTACAAGTCCTGGCCGACTTTATCCTTACAGAGCCAAAAGGCTTCTTTCAATCGGAGAAAGGTTGGATCTACTTCTTGTGATCTCTGTTGGGCTAAGTGCACAAAATCGTGCAGCAAGTAGGCCATGCTGACTCCTGCATGATAGCTATGAAGAACACGGATCTCTTGCACCTTCTGCTCAACTCTGTCCTTGCTCCATTCAAACAAGGCAAACTCCGGGAGAAACTTTTGCACAGTGTCGTCCTGTTCGTTCCAAAGCTCTTCATCCATGTCCTGCACAAGCTTCTCAACTCCGTCTGTCTTTTTCTGGTTCTCACTAAGAAAAACACTAAGGTCGTTGGCCAATGAAGAGAGCTTCTCGGTTTCCTCCAGTTTTTCTCTCATGAACTTGCTCAATGCATCAAGACTTGGATCAAATCTTAGTGCTGACTCTGATCCTGAGCTATCAAGAAGATCCCTGGTCTTTGCCCGTGGACAACGAAGGCTGTTGAGGATCCTTATCTTGTCATCATGGTTGGTTGCATTAGCTTCGGAAATCTCAACATACGCGGCTTTGTGCATAATGAATCGCGGGAACTTGGCCTCGCGCTGGCCTTTCAACAAAAGACCCAGCGCTCGCTCCGTACGCTCCTCAGCACCGGCCAGCCCATCTGTGATGAGATGTGCTTCGCCAGGACGATCCATGGCCGCCACATCCAGCAGAAAGTGCTTCCCGGACTTCTCCTTGTTGCGCTTCTCCACTACCAGAGACATGGTGCGCTCCTCCAGTGCCAGAGACGCTTCAAAGCACACCCAGATCCTGGTCATCACATCGGCATTCTGATCGAAGATCAGCAAGAGCCCGGTACACAACTTCAGTGCACGGCAGAAGTCCAGCTTTCGGGGATTGTCGCAGATCTCAGGTGCAAGCGTATGCTGGTTGTTTGCCAGAGCGCTATCCCAATAGGCTGTGCTCTCAGGCAACTCGCGCAAAGAAGCGTGGCGCCTGAGGCACGTCATGAACTCGTGGAGTGGCTGCTGCCATAGATACGTGACATACCACAGAGGCCGTTGACTTGCAGCCTCGCTGGCAACCAACTCTACGTAGCTGCAATTCAAGGGACGGTCCGTAGCAGGGCAAACGACCCAGAAATTCGCATGATACCTGTCGAAGTCATCGAAAGACAAAGGTTGCCCGTACTGTGGCATAACTGAATAAGGTTCATACCAAGTGGAGACCCTGTCCTTAACAAATTCCAGCAAATGTGACAGCTGCTTGATGGTGATTCCACGCACTTCGGTTCTTGGGATAGGAACCGGAGGTCCAGAACTCAAGCATGAATAGTTTGTAAACACAAAGTCATCATTGAAATCGTGCAGCAAGTCATCTGCTTCCAGCTTTTGTAGACCGCAAGACAACAGCTTGTTGCCATGCCAGGGCTCACCCAACACTTGCCGCAAATACTCCAGGGCCTCCTCTGCTGTGCTACTGCTGCAAGTGAATGTGCCCTTTTTCGGGACTTGGATACGAATCGATTGGGCCATGGCGCAATGGAAAAAAATGAATTTGGAATGCAGGAGAACATAATGATCTAAAATCATGCAACTGATGAAGCTTCAAAATATACAACGCGAACCTTGAGATGTATCCAATAGAGAGAGTGAGGCAACATGACATGATGGGAACTATTACTCGCTGTCATTGCCCTGAAAGTTATGCCTTCTCCACTAATGTCAAGTCAGGATTAATCAACCCCTCCCGATTCATCAACCACCACTGCCCCGATTTTTTTTGGTAATTTTAAAAACAGGTGGTCCCCCTGGATTAATAAACTCTTTGGCCTACCCCCCGATTAAAAAACCACCAGTGCTGAAATTCCTTTTTTTATCCAAATTTGTTTATTTCCAATTCTTTTTGATTCTCATCACTCCTCCAGTGCTGAAATTCATTTTTTTCACCAAAAATATTTATTTCCAATTCTTTTGGTTTCTCATCATGTCTCATGAATCTCAGAACCATGAGATTTTAGCAATCAAATCTCATCAAATCCAATGGAATCTTCTGGGGCCCATGAGATTTTAGCAATCACATCTCATCAAACCCAATGGAATCTTCTGGGGTCCAACGGATTTTAGCAATCAAATCTCATCAAATCCAATGGAACCTTACGGGATCCATGGAGTTTTAGCAATCAAATCTCGTCAAACCCAATGGAATCTTATGGGATCCATGGAGTTTTAGCAATCAAACCCCACCAAATCCAATCAACTCTTATCGGACCCATGAGATTTTAGCAATCAAATCTCATCAAACCCAATGGAATCTTCTGGGATCCATGAGGTTTTAGCAATCAAATCTCACCAGCCCGAATGGAATCTTATGGGATCCATGAGGTTTTAGCAATCAAATCTCACCAAACCCAATGGACCCTTATCGGACCCATGAGATTTTAGCAATCAAATCTCATCAAGCCCAATGGAATATTATGGGATCCATGAGACTTTAGAAACCAAACCTCATCAAATCCAATGGAATCTTATGGGATCCATGAGGTTTTAGCAATCACATCTCACCAAGCCCAATGGAATCTTTTGGGATAATTAAATTCTCTTGAAAAATCATCAGTTTGGATAGCTCCCAAAAGGTACCCCCCAGGAGCCCATGTCCCCCATAAATGAAAGCCAAGGTGCTCCCTGATTAATCAACCCACCATGTCCCTAATGTCTTTTCTTTGGATTTGCCCATTCATTCCAATGGAATCTTATGGGATCCATGAGATTTTAGCAATCAAACCTCATCAAACCCAATAGAATCTTATGGGATCCATGGGACTTTAGCAATCAAATCTCATCAAATCCAATGGATTCTAAAGGGATCCAATGGATTTTAGCAATCAAATTCCATCAAATCCAATGAAATCTTATGGGGCCCATGGGGTTTTAGAAATCCAATGCGGTCTTATGGGATCCATGAGATTTTAGCAATCAAGTCTCATCAAACCTATACTGGAATCTTATGGGATCCATGGGATTTTAACAATCAAATCTCACCAAACCCAATGGAATATTATGGGATCCATGAGATTCTAGCAACCAAATCTCGTCAACCCCAAAAGAATCTTATGGGATCCGTGAGATTTTAGCAATCAAATCTCATCAAATCCCATGGAATCTTATGGGACCCATGAGGTTTTAGCAATCAAATCTCATCAAACCCAATGGAATATTATGGGATCCATGAGATTCTAGCAACCAAATCTCATCAAACCCAAAAGAATCTTATGGGATCCGTGAGATTTTAGCAATCAAATCTCATCAAGCCCAATGAAATCTTCTGGGGCTCATGAGATTTAGCAGTCAAATCTCACCAAATCCAATGGAATCTTATGAGATCCATGAAATTTTAGCAATCAAATCTCGTCAAACCTAATGGAATCTTATGGGGCCCATGAAGTTTTAGCAATCAATTCCCATCAAACCCAGTGGAATCTTATGGGTCCCATGGAGTTTTAGCAATTAAACCTCACCAAATCCAATGGAATCTTATGGGCCCCCTGAAGTTTACAATCAAATCTCATCAAATCCAATGGAATCTTATGGGGCCCAGGAGATTTTAGCAATCAAATCTCATCAAAACCCATGGAATCTTATGGGGTCCATGAAGTTTTAGCAATCAAATCTCATCAAATCCAATGGATTCTTATGGGGTCCATGAGCTTTTAACAATCAAATCTCATCAGATTCAATGGAATCTTATGGGGTCCATTCGATTTGAACAATCAAACCTTATCAAATCCAATGGAATTCTGTGAAGATCTAATTGACTTAAGCCATATCCAAAATTTTATGGTTCAGAGGTGCTTATTATTAAGGGGGAACGCTAGGAAAGACCTTACAAAGCTATCTGACCTTGTGAGGGGGGTTTTTAATCCGGTGTTGCCATTAGGATCATCATGAATTTTGCATCAAACCAAACCCCTCTCTGAGATAAACTTGGCTCCTCTGGATGCTGCTGGTATGTGACAAACTTACACAAACTTATGAATGGGTTTCCAGCGATCTGGCCATGTGACTGGAACTCTGCAATGCCGAAGATGTGGTGCTTGAGCAGCAACAAGCCAGGTCAGAAACAAGATGCAGCCCACAAAACTTTTGTGAAACAAGTTATGTGAACAGTCTGCATTTTCCCCTGTTACCGTACCAGTGCACTGTAGACTGTGGAATGCGGAAGATGGTGGAATGCAAAGTGCGGAGTGTGGAGTGTAGAGCGTGGAGTGTAGAGCGTGGAGTCCGGAGTGTAGAGTGTGGAGTGTAGAGTGTGGAGTGTGGAGTGTAAAGTGCGGAGTGTAAAGTGTAAAGTGTGGAGTGTAAAGTGTAAAGTGGGGAGTGGGGAGTGTCGTGTGTAGAGTGTGGAGTGTAAAGTGTAGAGTGTGGAGTGTAAAGTGTGGAGTGTCAAGTGTGGAGTGTGGAGTGTAAAGTGTAGAGTGTGGAGTGTAAAGTGTAAAGTGTGGAGTGTAAAGTGTGGAGTGTAGAGTGTGGAGTGTAAAGTGTAAAGTGTGGAGTGTGGTGTGTAAAGTGTAAAGTGTGGAGAAGGGAGTGTGGAGTGTGGAGTGAAGAGTGTGGAGTGTAAAGTGTAGAGTGTAAAGTGTAGGGTGTGGAGTGTAGACTGTGAAGTGTGGAGTGCAAAGTGTGAAGTGGGGGAGTGGGGGGTGTCGTGTGTAGAGTGTGGAGTGTAGAGTGTGGAGTGTAAAGTGTAAAGTGTGGAGTGTAAAGTGCTGAGTGTAAAGTGTAAAGTGTGGAGGAGTGTAGAGTGTAAAGTGCAAAAAATGTGGAGTGAAAAGTGTAGAGTGTGGAGTGAGGAGTGTAAAGTGAGTGTAGAGTGTGGAGTGCGGATTGTAGAGTGTGGGGTGGAAACTGTAGAGTGTGGAGTTTGGAGTGTAAAGTGTGGAGTGTAAAGTGTAAAGTATGGAGTGTCGAGTGTAGTGTGTGGAGTGTAAAGTGTGGAGTGTAGAGTGTAAAGTGTGGAGTGTAAAGTGTGGAGTGTAAAGTGTAGAGTGTGGAGTGTAAAGTGTGGAGTGTAAAGTGTGGGGTGTGGAGTGTTGTGTGTAGAGTGTGGAGTGTAGAGTGTGGAGTGTAAAGTGTAAAGTGTGGAGTGTAGAGTGTAAAGTGTGGAGTGTAGAGTGTGGAGTGTGGATTGTAGAGTGTGGAGTGTAAAGTGTGGAGTGTCAAGTGTGGAGTGTGGAGTGTAAAGTGTAAAGTGTGGAGTGTAAAGTGTAAAGTGTGGAGTGTAAAGTGTGGAATGTAGAGTGTGGAGTGTAAAGTGTGGAGTGTCAAGTGTGGAGTGTGGAGTGTAAAGTGTAAAGTGTGGAGTGTAAAGTGTCAAGTGTAAAGTGTGGAGTGTAAAGTGTAAAGTGTGGAGTGTAAAGTGTAGAGTGTAAAGTGTAGGGTGTGGAATGTAAACTGTGAAGTGTGGAATGCAAAGTGTGAAGTGGGGAGTGTCGTGTGTAGAGTGTGGAGTGTAGAGTGTGGAGTGTAAAGTGTAAAGTGTGGAGTGTGGTGTGTAAAGTGTAGAGTGTGGAGTGTAAAGTGTAAAGTGTGGAGTGTAGACTGCGAAGTGTGGAGTGCAAAGTGTGAAGTGGGGAGTGTCGTGTGTAGAGTATGGGGTGTAGAGTGTGGAGTGTAAAGTGCAAAGTGTGGAGTGTGAAGTGTAAAGTGTGGAGTGTAAAGCGTAAAGTGTGGAGTGTGGAGTGTAGAGTGTGGAGTGTAAAGTGTGGAGTGTAAAGTGTAAAGTGGAGAGTGGGGAGTGTCGTGTGTAGAGTGTGAAGTGTAGAGTGTGGAGTGTAAAGTGTAGAGTGTGGAGTGGAAACTGTAGAGTGTGGAGTGTGGAGTGTAAAGTAAGGAGTGTGGAGTGTAAAGTATGCAGTGTGGACTGTGGAGTGTAAAGTGTAAAGTGTGGAGTGTAAAGTGTAAAGTGTAAAGTGTGGAGTGTAAAGTGTAAAGTGTGGAGTGTGGAGTGTAGAGTGTGGAGTGTAGAGTGTGGAGTGTAAAGTGTAAAGTGTGGAGTGTAGAGTGTAAAGTGTGGAGTGTAAAGTGTGGAGTGTAGAGTGTAGAGTGTGGAGTGTAGAGTGTAAGGTGTAAAGTGTGGAGTGTGGAGTGTAGAGTCTGGAGTGTAAAGTGTAAAGTGTGGAGTGTGGAGTGTAGAGTGTAGAGTGTGGAGTGTAAAGTGTAGAGTGTAAAGTGTAGGGTGTGGAGTGTAGACTGTGAAGTGTGGAGTGCGAAGTGTGAAGTGGGGAGTGTCGTGTGTAGAGTGTGGAGTGTAGATTGTGGAGTGTAAAGTGTAAAGTGTGGAGTGTGGTGTGTAAAGTGTAGAGTGTGGAGTGTAAAGTGTAAAGTGTGGAGTGCAAAGTGTGAAGTGGGGAGTGTCGTGTGTAGAGTGTGGGGTGTAGAGTGTGGAGTGTAAGTGCAAAGTGTGGAGTGTGAGTGTAAAGTGTCGAGTGTGGAGTGTAGAGTGTGGAGTGTGGCCCATAGACACGGCGAAGCCAGAG